ACTGTCGTGCAGTGTCTCTGGAGAAGTATCTGTTTTGGATGTCGACTACATGGCCAAAGTGGACTAAGACGGCAACAGATGTAACGTGTGGCCAGCCATCTGAACTAGCTGACAAGTTACTGAGTGGCGTGGATGACCAAATATTATGCAATAGCCAGGCTTAGGAAATTTAACATATTATAATAAATATATTGACAGATAATTAACTTTTACCTTGTATAGATACTTATACATTTATAGTCTTGTTATTTAATATAGGTATGAATCCTTTTGAATTGAAAGGAGCGAAATATAGAGATAACAACCAATAGTTATGCTCAAAGTGCTTTCAAATAATACAGATAAAGAGAAAAGCAAACAAGGTCCTCTAAAACATTTGAGGTGGGAACAGGTGTCATAGAGAAGTGAGAATCCCCTGGTAATCGGTCAGATCTGCCATTTGCTCCCTATTAGGATCGGACCCCCCCTCCCCCGAAAAAATGTGGACAACCCAGAGCATAAATAAGGGCATAACAGTCAATATGAAGAACGTTGTTTAGCATTTGGCTTTATGATAAATTATATTTGCTGTCAAGGTCATTGTATCGATTATACAATTAAAATGAAATAGAAGATAACAGACATAATTCGAGCTTAAAAGTCCATTTAACATTACAAAATAGGAGCAGAGCAAACTCGGGCATCCAAAACATCAGAGACTGGATCATGTGCCAAGGGGGAGTGAGAATCCACTGCCAACTGGTCACACCCGCCGTGTGCTCCTTGTTATGATCGGTAAATAATGGAAAAAGTCCATGGACAACTCACTGTATAAATAATGACCTAAAAATCAGTATGAAAATAGTCAGTGAGCATTGGACTTTATAATAAAAAATTGTATTTTCTGACAAGGTCATTGTATTGACTATAGAACTTACGAAATGGTGACTTTAAACGAGACTTAGATTCCTGGCTGATCAACTTGTTTTTCAACTTTTCACCTCGATTTAGAAATAGTAAATACGTAGAGCATGCTTTTCCGTATCGGTTCAGCTGAGAGATATAAAACAAGGCGCCGGTGATGATGGTATATTGCTGCATAAGTAAGGGTGTTATTTGGATCTTTTACTAGGAAAAGACATTAAGGTTATCTATCAACAAAGCTTTATGATAAACGTGATGACTTTTAACTTTTCTATTGTCAACTTCTCTTTCTCATATACAACAATACGCCTGTATCACCTGCATAAGGAGTTTATATATCTCAGTTGATTCGATACAGAAGAGCTTGTTCTACGTATGAACGATTTCTAAATAGAGGTAATGTATTGACAAACAAATTGATGAACAAGTATATCAGCAGTCTACTTTAAGACTTCATTTCGTAAGTTTAATGGTCGATACACTGACCTTGTCAGCATATACAATTTATAGATAAGTCAAATGCTGACTGACTTGTTTCACAAAAATTCTTTAAAAATGCAAAGAATTTAAAAAATACACTTAATCAATTCCGTATTTTAAGTAAAAACCATCATCGTAGAAACAATATATGTTTATCAATAGGACACGATGAATTTCGGAATCCTTTGGAAAGTTGTTTTCCCTGTTTAATTTACATTGTAAATGACGGATTTTAAAGGGGTCTTGTTCTTTTATAAGCTATGCTTTCAATAACAGCTTTTCAGAGACCATTCACTTCCAACTTGCCCTTCATTGATAAACATATAATATTTTTGCAATAATCATGATAATGATTTTCACTAAAAGTACAGAATTAAAGGTAGATAATCACTAAAATTGATAACAGTTTTTTTCTAAAAAAAAAAATTGTTTTCTAGTGATACTAGTACTTTCCATCTGTTAATCAATGATATGTTTCAAAACGTACTGTAAAAGTTTTAACTTTATGCCTCACATAGTTTTGACGCTATTGTAAAAATGATTTTTTGGACATTTTGACCTTTGGCAAAACCATTAACAAAAACTTCCTGAAACATATCTTATTTATGCAATGGTGATTTTTACTAAAAGTAAAGAATTAAGCAGGTGCGTTTTGCAAATATACAACGGTATCACTTGATAACAAATATTTTTCTCATTTTTTTTTTTAGATATTTGTTTCCTAGTGATACATTCCATCTGTTAATCAACGATATGCTTATAAACTGTAAAAGTTTTAACTTTATGCCTCACATAGTTTTGAAGCTATTGTAAAAATTAGGAAATTGTTACTTTTAACGAGACTGCTAATATTCTTATTTCATCAACTTGTTTGTAAATAATTACCTCGTTTTAAAAATTGTCTATACGTATACCATGCTCTTGTGTATCGAATCAACTGAGACACCGTATACAGGCGTTGAAGATATATTGCTGCATAAGTAAGGGAAGTTGACGATAGAAAAGTTAGTCATCACGTTTATCATAGAGCTTGGTTGTTAGATTACCATTAATGTCTTTTTCAAGTAAAATATCCAAGTACATGTGTGAAGCATATGTATCAGACTCTGTGGTATCTTTTATCTGAAACTCACCAGGATATATCGTATCGACATCAGAATGGACATTGCCATTGTTTATGCCTCACATAGTTTTTGAGGTATTGTAAAATTTTCTTCATATCTTGATCTTTGGCAAAACCGTGAAACAATCTTCCTGTAAAAAAACAATTGTATATCAAATTATATTCTTATAATTCTAGTTTTCTTTACTTCAGATGGTGAGAAAGACCACTCTAGCAGTAAATACTTTATTTTTAACATAATTGTCACTTCATAGGACTTTCGGATCCCCCCTTTTTTTAATAAACCAAATGGTTATCTATAAAGTTTGGTACAAATACATAAATTCAATTTTTTATCGACATACATTTTTAACGTTATTTTGCTTAAATGGAAGATGTCTATTAAGATATTATTGGAATGAAATGATAAAACTTCTCTTGGTCATTGTGGTAATCTTGCAAATCATCAGACATAAATTGGAATGAGGATTAGTATATAAAAGCAAATTAAACTTAAAAAGAAGTCCCTAAGATACATATATATCATTCTTTATTAAAAAGGGCCGTTTATGTATATATGTTTCGGGCTTTTGTGTGCCTTAAAAATTTTATGTTCTAAAAAGTTATGAAATTGGTTCTAAAATGAGTTGAGTAGATGAATAAGATAAATCACTCAATAATGTGGTGCAAAGGAGGACCGGTCTGTAATAATTATTATGACTTCTTTAATTTGGTGCATTGCTAAACTTTATGCAAAAAAATCCTAAAAATCACTCATTTCTGTGTTTATTTTCCTGTAGAGAATAGTGTCTGCCACCGTCGCCCACTTTAATCTTTGGATATTATGTAAATTGCTTTGAAAAATTCGCATATCTCCAAACCTTTGTGGGATATGCATGCACTATATATTTTCTAAAAGAAAATTTCATTGAAAATTGATGTCTTCTGCAACTTTGAAAGAAAATACGGCAAAATGCACATATTAATGACATATTATGGCATACTAGTATATAGAAAGTCATATTGGAAAAACGGTTTTTATGTTTTTTCTGCATGAAATTTAAATAATTCAGAGAGGATAAATTTTAGTTTTTTGAATCACATAAATTTTTAGAAAAATACAGGGCAAGATTTGTATTGAAACCATACTTTATAATCCTAGACAGATTAGAGTTTTGTAAGGTTTGATCGGGTGCAATGAAAGAGTAATCATCCCATGACAACGTGTCAACACTGACCAAGGATTCTTTGTAATGAGAGGGTTGACGGATTAATCTGTAAATAGTATAAAAATAATGTACATGTATATTAACAACATGCTTTAGAGCCAAGATTCGACCGAAACAGCATATTTGGAAAAAAGTTGCAATAAACGACATAGAATTTGTTTAATATTAGATAACTAGTTTAAAATTATTGATACCCTTTTATTTTCAACTTATCTGTGAGAAGGCTACACCAGTTTAGAAATTAACTTTATACAGAATGCTCATTTGAAAAAAAAATAAACACTACATTGAGGTGATGGTATATTTATTATATTCTAAATGAAATGTTTAAAGTTAACAGTTCGTGCTTAGAAGTTTTATTAAACTAAACAAACTGACAGCATGCAAACACGGACCTATGAAAAATCAGAGATGGAATCAGATGCCATGAAGGAGTAAGTCATACCTCTTCACAAACTGGTAATTGGACAAAGACAAAAAAATCAGTATGAAAATAATGGCCTATAATTTGTATGAAAAACACATGTTCAGTTACTGTATTAGAATTAAAGATGAATGGTGTTTGCTAACCAGCCCTTCGAATTAATTCATACAAGAAATTACCATGTAATGCTTTAATGAAATATGATTTAATAGTCTATTTAAATTTAAAGTTATTGTAAAAGAGTAATTTTATTTTCTTTAGAATATTTTTTTCCAGTTGGTTATAAGTTATCTTACTTTTCATATTAAATCCAGTTCATATTTGCATATTGAGACTGCAATAAGTTTTAGCAACATCATTCAATATGAAAAAAAATTGTTTTGATGAAATTATTTTTAATATAATAAAATTTGCTTTGATCTGAAAGGTAAACACATGAGTCAAGGTTTTGAAATTTTAGTTTATCTTGATCCAGTTTTTAGTCCGTACGATACGTACTAGTTCACTTACTGTTTGTCAGCGTCCGGTTGTCCAAAAGATGGTTTAATTAAATACAGTGTTTTCTATGTGTTAACTAATGTGTTAAATTTTACTGTCTTTTGAACAACCAGACCCTTGAGTGTAAAAAGGTAAAAAATAGCTGGAAGGCATTGAATTATCTATTTCATGCCATTTTAATTTCTTTAATGGCGACTTTGTAGTGTATCGTCTATTACAAACAGTAAACATATTTATCATGGGGCAGTTGTTGATTTTTGCATGTTGTTCACCCACCCGTCAAATCAACTGATAAATGAATGGAAAATTGAAAAAAAAAATATGTAGCATTAGAAAAGTTTCTTTAATGTCGGTAACCCGTGTGCTCGCTACGTGACCCCTTTATAAGACCTGATGTACAATGATTTCTACCCATTATTCAGTTGAAAATGCTGATACAAGTGTGTTTTGTGGTTTTAGTACTTTGGAATTCTACATTTTCTGTACACGTAAAAGAGAAAGATGAAGGTATTCTGGGGTTTTATTTTTATTACGCAGTTGCATAACATATACATTGAGAAGAATTGCACTACTTTTGTTTTGTTTTGGAAATAATTAATTGAAGAAATTAATAAAAATAAATAAATCAGAATTATCATTTACTAGATTTCATCAGAGAAGAAGTTCGAGAATTGCTGGAATTTTTAAAGGAAAGCGAACCTGAAGAAAAAGCAGCGGTATTTAATAGTTTTGTTTTAAATTTCTTGTGTTAATGGATATAATTGTATTTAAAATCTAAATGTTACCCAATTAATGTATTTGATTATTTAAAGTATTGACTCTAATTCGTTTTGTCATCATATTTAAATATCTATTAAAAGTAATGTAACTAGTTAACTGTAAATATCTCTAAATACTTGATTAACATTACATGTATTAGTTTTATTTGTAACCAATGAAGGGCATGCACGGCTTTTCTAAATTAAATTTGAATGAAAATGGAATAAGAAATAAGATTTTTGTGATGTATGATTTGACTTAATTTTGTTTTCCTTTAAAACAAAATTTATTAAAATTTCATTCATGGTCTCTTGTGCATGGGGTTGTTGCAAAGTCTTTTCCGTTACTTTTTAATGCTTATTTTTTTAATACTTCTTAGTTTTGTATTTTTCATTTTAAAATATGTGGAGATAACGAAGAGTATTCGAGCTCAAAAGCCCATTAAACAAAACAAAACAGTAGCGGAGCAAGCACTGACCTCCAGAACATCAGAGGTGGGATCAGGTGCCATGTCGATAAAGCTTTCTTTAAAAATGAACTTAATTTAATGTTGCATGCATGTGAATATAGAGAATCGACCATGAAGAAAAAGGAAGGAGACTTTTCAAAAACTACTTTGGACAGGAAGATCTTGATTTTGCCCAAAAGAGAAAAGCCAAGAAAGAAAAGGAACAAAAATCTAAAGAGAAAGATGGTCAGAAAAAGAATAACCCTCAGGAAAAACACAGCAAAATGATTGATGAAGAAGTAAGGACTCTCTCTTTTCTTTCTTTTTTCTTTTCTCTCTCTCTCTCTCTCTCTCTCTCTCTCTCTGGAAGAATGAAAAATATTTTTATAGCTTGTATTTTAACATTTGGACGAGTAAAATCTATCTAGCAATAAATGAAAACATCTCCCATTTGATTTCTTTAAAAAAAAAAATACATGTATAAAAATCTTCATTAGCATGGAATTAGGGAATTTTTTTGTACATTAAAATAATAAAATCATCAAGTATAAAATTGAAGTGTTCATTGAAGTGAATTATTAAGTCACGGTCAATCTAATTCCCCTCTAGGACGTGGACCCGGATGACGTGAAGTTAATGAAACTACTGGAAGGAATGGCGGTGGAGAAGAACGGGAGAGTCTTCAAGGTCAGATCTACCTGCCTGAAAAATTTCTCTGTAAAATAATAATGAGAATTTTTAGCCTTCGGGTATGGTGTCGACTGTTTATCAATTTTTTTAATTGAATACACATGGACTGTTTTATAAATGAAGCATATAATTGAAACCCGTAAACATAAATATCCTTGGGATTCCGTCTAGTCAAGTTTATTTGTATGAAAATAAAGCAAGTGTCAACAAATACATGAGCTGAAGAAGAATTTTTCTGAATAAAGTTTGACGATATGGACTCTATGATAGAAATATTACATTAAGCTTTATTGCGGGTGCATAAAGAGTAAACATCTTTTTCTCTTATTTATGGCACCTGATCCCACCTCTGATGATCAAACTTTTAGAGCTTCTTGTATGCTTTGCCCCAAAAATCGTATTGTTTAATTGACTTTTGAGCCTCAATACTGTTATCTTCATATATTTCATCTTTGATTAATGTATAGATTGCTTCTGGAGCATCGTCGTCGATGTGTTATATATTTTAAATAGTATAAATTAAAGAACATCGTTTGACACAATGATAATTCTTTAAAGAAACATTTGTTTTTTGACCAATAATTGCCTTCCTTTGGATAGAGGAAAACTGAAATTGTGATAAAGAACACCATGGCCTTTGATTAAATCTTTTGGTACTTTAATTCACAAGAGTTTCCTAAATTTTACTTAATCATTTTTGGTCAGGGTCCCTATTAATTATTCAGTTTTATTTTTCCGTTTAGTGTTGAAATTCTGTTGTCTATTTGTTGAATCTAAAATATAACATGTATAAATGAAAAGAAAATATTTATGTTTCTGGTTGAATGATAAAACTGTTATATTTTAAAGGCCAAAGGTTTGCATCCCGAATTATCAATGATTGCAAAAGGTCAAGGCATGGACAAGCACCCTTTAACCCCGGCACAATCTCTGATAGAGCAGATTTCTGGGGATCAGGTAACATTGTTATGATTTAAATAAATATATGTACCCATAAAGCAACCTGGTAATTTCATAATTACAATCTTTTAACTTAGTATATCTTCCTGTAAAACCTCAATGTGCAAAAACAACTTAACAGTCATTACGCAATGTTAAATTTCAATTGGATTAAAAGAAATTTATTTAAACCGTTTCATGTAAACATATAGCGGAGCGGATAGTGGGGAAAATATTTCACTTGCGGATACAAGCACCAAATTTTGCATGAAGGTTCTTTGACTATTACTGAAATAAGAAATATAGTTGGCCACTCAAGTTTTGGCCATTTTCAAGATGGCCGCCACTTATTTCAAAATGGCGCCTTTTTAAAATAATTTTTCCAAATATTTTCATCCTTCCTCGGTAATACTTTTATTTCTTCTAAAATAATAAAAGGGAACTTGGTACATGATATAATTTGAGCTCCATTCTATATATACATACACTGCGCATGCGCTTAGATACAAACAAAAGCTGTTTTAAGCACATGACTGAATTAATGTTCTGAAACGTGTGTAGCTGCAGAAAGCAATGTAAGGTAATCTGGACCTGAAGCAGTTGAAGTTATATTACACCAACATTTTAATAGTTCTTGACATGTTGCACAATTGCTGGCAAGAATGTACAGTGTGGGGCACAAAATTTACGTTTTTTTACTCAATCATAACTGGAAGGTGAGGGTATGGTTAGCCACTTGCATACTAGTAGTGACTGACCCCATGAATGACCATCATGCAATCCAGGTCTCCAAATCTGCTTTACAAGAGCAGCTCTTTAGGGAGGGGATCAAGGCAAGCGTCATTAATGCTATTCGCATTGCTGATTGTACATGATGACAACAAATTCTTCCAGTGCATTGATTAAAGGTTTGACAAGGGGTGCTTCAAAATTGGATTTGAATATTTCTTTGGCGTTCTCAAATATATTCATGACCTGTCATGCTGTCTTTTTACCTTTCCAAACAAAGGCCGACACTGTATCACTACCCGTGAATGCATGAAAGAATGGTTATGCAATTGACATGGTTCCAGTGATCTAACAACATTATAAATTGTTATTCATCTCAAATCCTTGCCCTTTCAAAATGTCATTCATTGCTGATCCACATTAAATTCATCAAAAGAGTTACACAACAACGTCTGTATCCGAACTAACCATGTAGATTGATCTGTGCTGCTACCACCAGGTGCTGCATTTTTTGCATGAAGGAACATACTGGTGTCAGCTTCTTCATGTTAGCAAAGCGGTATAAAGTTGGTATCTATAGCTTTGCTTATATTGACAGTTTTTTCCCTTTACTACAATTATAGTTGCCTCTGTAATCGTGAATATAATTCTGCCAGCTAACCCCCCTCCCCCAATTCAGTTTTGTTCTTGTCACACTGAAAGAAAGTGACTTTGGCGGTCTAGTGTTCACGGTTACTTCAAGACCCATGCCACATTTCTTTTCAGTTTCTGCCTTAAAACTATCCTTTTTCTGAACACGGAAGATAGTGTCTACCCTCATATTACCTTTTACAAGAGAATTAATGTGCCAAAGAATAATTACATTGGCATATTTGTTAAAATTTCAGGTTGTTTAGAATTGACTAATGATGCACTGTCAATTACAAAAGCTGTTTCAATGATATAACTAACAATCTTCTGTCAGTACATTATTTGGCAACTCTTTTCCTGCTTCCAAAATAGGCATCAATTGAAATTTAAAACATTATTAAAAAACATTTTGTGAAAGAGAGAGAGAGGTGTCCTGGTTTTCATGATCAGAAAGTTCTTGCACATCGCATTGCCTACTGTGACAGAAAATAAATAACAGAAAAACTGCTCATCTTCAAAATTTGCCAACTTTGACTTTGAAGAATCAAAATTTTGCTTTGGATTGAATATGCGAAATTTATCCTTCTGAACAAGTTCATAAAACCTTGATTATCACCTTCAGATACTCTTAAAAGGAATACCTAATATTGTTCTTTCCCAATGTATCCTTTTTTTAATATTTCATCCAGCAGTTTCATCAGTTTCGACAACAACTATAAAATCCTGCACTATCAGTTTCGACAACAACTATAAAGATCAAGCAACTCTTCCTCAAACGTTTTTCCCATTTCCAAAATTATACATGTAGGTATAGCCCGATTTACTTTTGAAAAAAAAACTTTCTTGAGCAGCATGACTTTCTTCGTGATATTTTTCTTCTTCTCTTGAACATTTCAACATGTTCATGTGAACTCCTTTGTAAGTTTGCTGATTCCTGGACCAGCTACCACCTTTAATGCAGCTGGATCTTCCGCTAACCATCACCGGATCTTCTGTTACATGTAACCAACACTTTTTTACAAATAGCATTGTTATGCTCATGGGCTTGACCAATGGCAAAGTTTGAAAACTATTATTTTTTCTAAGTAAATTCCTTTTTTAATTTATCACTAAACATATGTCCGGGTGTTTTGACATTGCACCCAAAGGTGAAATGGTACCCATCGAACATATTTGATGTGACCAACGGGAATTACTAGCATTCTTTGTAAAGCCTAACATCTGATTCTCTGCAAGACCTTACAAAGTAAAGACAACGAGTTCCAACAAAATTCTTTACCAAAATTTAAATTGTGAAATCTTTTTTTTAGTTTTGACCTCCAAGAAAAATAAATCATCTATTTCAATTTCATCACAATTATTGAGTTCCTTTTTATCAAGTCATACAGACAGCATGCAGTAATTTGATTATCCTATCTTATTTAAGCAAGGTTTAAAAAAAAATGCTAGGAAAGACTCAGCAGTTCCAGAATATGCAACTTCTGCTTGAATCAATGCAGTCATCCAGCCGCTTCCTTTCAACAAATCACCAAGCAGTTTTTAAGCTGCCATTTCAATATGGAATCCATTGAACGTATTGACAACATATCTATCTTCACCATAAATTTCCAGTCATTCTCTTCGTATCTGTTGGTTACAAGCGGCTTTTTTAGCCATCACAGGCGTTTGTCTTGAAAGGATGGTGCTGACTTCACAATCCATGGCATTCTTCATTGTGGATAGCGAATGGTTACCTGTTGTTTTATGTCATAAATACAACATTGATTCATTTCCTTTTTTTAACGTTCCTTAAAGGATTATTTCACTCAATAAAATTAAAGGTTGTTTGAAAGAATATTTCACTCAGTGCTATTTTATGTTCTCCAAAGGATTATTTCATTTATTGAGATTTTACGTGCGTTGGATGAGTGTTTCACTCTATGATATTTTATGTTTCTTGAGGAATTATTTTACTTATTGAGGGCTTTCAAATACAAAATTTTACTTGGTATTCAGGCCCAAGATAGTGAGGGAACGCCTGCAAGGCTTTTTGTAAAATATCTGTTACATTTTTTTTTATAAAATGGCTTCTTGCTACTGTGAAAATATCGTTAATATCTACAGTAGGGAACGATATTTTGTGTTATAAGAAGATCATTTTGTCTTTATATTTATAGCATTTAAGCTGGAATATGATTTTTATAGTCTTTTTAAATTTTTTAGATATATTTAAGCGGCCAAAGTGTAATCGATTTGGTTGTAAGAGAATGTATGTGAGGCCAAACTGCCTGAAAATGTCGCCATTTTGTTTTAGTGGCGGCCATCTTGAAAATGGCGGAAATCGCGGTGGCCAACGATGTTTTTAGATTTAGTAGTATCAGATAGACATTTGTACCAAATGTCATGCTTGTATCCACAAGTGAACTATTTTGCTGATATTTTGATCTAAGCCGCTACACTAATACGAGGGGTTATCAAAAAGTTCGTGGACTGAGGCTATAAAATTAATACTATGTTGTCTGAGCTTACAAAATTAATAAGGAAGATAAACAACAAAAAATAAAGAAATGTTGAAAGTTTTAGCTTGATACGTTCATTATTTCCCAAATTATTATAAAATAAAGACGACATTATATAATCACCCGGCGCCGGCGACGTCCGACAACGTCATTATACAATTATTGACTTTTGATGAGGTCTACTCGTGACTATACAGACCTGGTCAGGTATTGGTTGACCGAGGCGAAGGCCGAGGTTAACCAATACCTGATTAGGTCTGTATAGTCACGAGTAGACCGAATTCAAAAGTCAATAACCGTTTTATTAAATGATGAGGAATTTTACGACACTGCTGACTCTTTCATTCTATGTAAAGTGTAATTACACTCTTTACATGTTGATATACTTCAACAGCTAAACAAATATTAGTTAAAAAGTTAAAAACAATATTAATAAACAATAAATACTCAACCATTTACTTTCAAAAGTTCGTAATCTCCTTGGTAATGGCGTCTAGCATGTTTACACTCACACCGACACATGCTTTGAAACACGCAATCTGATTGGTCGAAAAAGCTGTAAGCAAATCTATGGTTGGTCGAGAGGGAAAACCCGAATAAACCTCCCAGAACGTCATTTGAGGTGAACTCACTCTGAGGTACACACCAGTAAATGGCGTCTAGACCAATCAGAGAGCACCAAAATTCCTTATCATTTAATAATATTTTTTAATGTCCGCTTCTTCTACCTCGTACACTTATTTTGATAAAATCCCCAAAGCTGAGTAAGGACTTCAACCCGTCTTGTTTTTAAGACTTAACAATATCATGAACAGCAGCTTTCAGTGCATATGTTATTGCAAATATACATTGGGAGGATCCTCGCTTGGTTGTGCCAGCATATATTGTTTTTTGGAGTTCAATATAACTATAAAACACATGATCAACGTCATTATTTGACTTGATAGATTTTTAAAACCTTGACTACAAATCGACATTAACTTTGCATCCGTTTTCTCTTTGAATCTATTTTGTTAATAAAAAAAAAAAACAAGTAATCTGGATCCATTTTTTTCTCCGTAGCCATTTAAAAATTTCTTAGGTGTATACCTGTTTTTCCAGGGGCAAAACTTTACAGAATGTTGAAAAATGAAACTCCACCCCCTTTTGACGGCATTTTCAATAATGCAATATTTGTTTGGTTAAACCATGTAAAATTTACAATAAAATTTCATAGAACTTCCACAATGAGGTAAAAATTTCATATTTTAGGGAACAATAGTGTCCCAACACATAACTGAATTAGCGGAATTTTTGGATGCCAAATGTTCATATCAAAATACTTTACGTGTATTTTAGTTACAGGTCGAAAAAACGTCGTTTTCGAGGTTGTGCCGCCATGACATACCATTGCTTAAAAAACTTAACTAATTTATTTAAAAATAAAATTAATGATTTGTGGTTTATTCTATAGGTAGAAATGATGATGATACTGAATATTTTAAAATTCATTGATGTATCTAAAGAGGTTTAAATTTTATGGTGCTAGTCCATGAACTTTTTTATAGTCCCTCGTAGTTGATATTTTTGCCAATTAATATTTGCTTCAGGTACGCAGAAAAAAGAGAAGTTTTTGGAGAGCAGCTTGGAAGTGGCCGAAAAATATCGTCCCCTTTGACATAGACAATAATACCATAGGTAAGCACATAGTATCTGATATTAAATGCAGTATGACATATCATGCATTTTATTGTCTTTCAGGTAACATTTTAAAATATTTGTTGAAAGGTTTTTTTTTAATTTGCCACCACTTTTCAAACCATGGCTGCATCAGACAAAATATTTTGATGAAAACTTTTATAAATAACTTTTGTCACAGTCTGATTAAAATTTGAACTTCCACTATCTCCCACGCAACCATTAAAATTAAAATAAAGGAGGTAGTGGAAGGTTTAAATTTATTTTAATCAGACTGATTTAGTCACGAACATTTTCTGCAGTTGGATAAGTACCCTGTTATAAAAAGTTAACATTCCTGTGGGATGATGAAAAAACCTACTAGTATGCATCACAATATAACCATGTCTTGGAGATATCGCAGTAAAACGATACTTTTCTCAATTATATTGAATCTTTTTTAATATAAAGAGCTATTAACAGCGGTAGTTGCCAAATTTTCAACACTATATTATATTATACATAACGCACTTGTTTGAACAGTTTTTCATAGAAAACTCTATGTTTTTTTTCTAGTAAGTGAAAGAAGCTATGCTATCTTTAACAAAGCAGCTGAGCTTTTCAACAATCTAACCTGTCTAAAGTGGCTACCTTATACACCAGAACTAGCGGAACAAGTGGGCCACAATAATTATGTACAGTTTCGAGACTCGGAGTAAGTATAAAGGGTTAAAATGTACTTAACAAGAATTTTTTTTTTATATATTTTGATTAAACGCTATCTTTAACCTTTGATGACCTATCTTTGTATGATTGCATTTATATATCAGGAAAAATACCAAATTCTAATTTTCTTAATTAAAAAATCTTTTTTCATAAATGATTCTGATGTATTTCTGTACCAGTTAGTAATGATGGGGACAAATATTATGAAACACTCTATAGTCTAGTAGCTTGAAAATTTTAACGGTAACATCGTTATAGACAAGAATTTAGATTACAAAGCATTCAGATTTGACAGATTCTATTGTATAAACACTCGAACATGTGCCTTTTTGTAGTGGTTGTTGGTCATATGTTGGATACATAGGAAGAAGTCCACAGGTCATTGGAATGTCACAGAGGGGATGTATGAGCGTAAGTTCTGAGAAGAGGAAATGTTTTTATACTATAGAAATAATTTTTCGAACATTTATTAATGAAAACTATCTTTTAAAAAAACCATACATGAAACCCAAAATATGTTTGACGAATGACTTGTGATGTCAGAATTTTTTTTTTAAATGTGTAGGTTGGTATAGCAGTGCATGAGATGCTTCACGCCGTGGGTTTGATGCATGAGCAGTCACGTACTGACCGTGACGACTATATCCGCATGATTAAAGAAAATCTCAAGGAAAATTTTTACAATGGTAACATGGCAAAAACCAGCACTTTTGACCGCAATGCCTATGACTACGAGAGCATTATGCAGTATGGGTTATGGGTAAATATCAACATAATGTTCACGAACCATAAAACATGTACATTTAATTACTAGCAAAATTGAGTGCAGATTAACTCCTTATTATAATTCATCATTTTAATTTCAAAGTAGTTCTCACTCCAAAAATGTATTATAAGAATAACCCATAATATTTTTTTGTAATACATTAAGCTTCCTAGTTAATAGTAGTAATGTTGATATGATATTTTGTATATCAACCGTTTCATTGTAAAGAAGATGGGCGCATTTTGCATGTGATCTGCAGGAATCATTTGTACGAAACATTTATGGTTTAAATGTCCATGATTTGGTTGGCTGAACGTAGCTGGTCAGATTTTACAAACACAGCCAAAGGATTTTTCTTTCTTTAAGTTTGGAATACCATGTCAGATTGTAATACTTATGCCCGTTATTCTTAGGAAATACAATAGCAAAGGAATGCTTCACAAAAAAAAAATAATAAAAAAACACCTATTAAATAAAAGGCACATGATAAGTGTACATGTACATCAAAGTGTAAGTAGAATAGAAGATTGAAATTGATTTCGCCCTCGGTGCAACTGAAACAAAATTTTTCTAATTCAAAATTTGAATAAATCATTACATTGATTGTAGCTGACAAAAGAATTGATAGTTTGCATTAAAAAAAATAACACCCCATGCGAGGTCCGAACCAAAAACTTTTCATTTCTGGTGCATTGAACTGGAAGCCCATCTTACTATTAAAACTATCACGGCTAAACATAATGAGTTTGTTATAAAAGGACAAAGAAGCACCTCATTCACACTATTGGAGTTTTTGGAAAAAAAAATCATTTTTTATGGTCTCTGGGTCTTCTCACCATTTTTTACAAATGTATGTTCGTTTCTTTAAATTCAAATACACACAAATAACGTTTCAAAATCATGGAGAGAAGACCCAGAGATAGAAAATTTTTAGATAAACGTGTTTAAAAATGTAACAATTTGTACTAAATGTCTGATCAAGCCAATTTTGAAGTTATTTTTAAGCAAATCAAAACTCTCTATCGGGAAATTATTTTCCTTTCCAATTTCACAGGAACCCGATAAATAAAAAAAAAATGTTAAAATTTCATATGACATGTCGATAAAATTTTCACTTTTCAAGTACGCCAAGATTCTTGCCGAATGCCAAACAAATATTATATATTCACAACTACATGTACGACGACTTACTTATATACTGTATCTCATGTACTTGAAAAAGTAATGCCAATTTTTACCAAATAAATATAGCCATTTGATGGATAACCGGGCTATCAAAATACTTATTGCATTAAAATAAATATATTTACATGTATTATTAACAAAATAAATGCCCATTTCAGTCCTTTTCGGTCACTGGAGGTCAAACAATGGAATTTCTGGACAGAGATCTGGAGTTTTTAGCGGGGACTGGGGCCGGGGTCGGTCTTGATTTCTATGATGTCAAGGATATAACTGCGAATTACCTATGTGCAGGTGAGTGTCTGTTGGTTTATATAATGCTTAAAATATAAACTGAAAGCTGTTTTAACGATAAAACTTTTCCACCTCTGTATAAAAACACTCACTTACCCGCAAACATTCGCTGAAAATGTGCGCATACTTGCTGAAATGCAGAAAAAAAAGAACGATGGATAGTCTGTTTCATTAAAATGAAAATGAATGTGGTTCTTAAAAGCTACGGTATTACAAAAAACCAAATACTTTAAGGATCAACCAAACAGATTCATGACGAACATACATAGATACGGACAGACAGACAGATGGAATTGTAGCCTTGCTTTTGTTTGACTGATAATGGAAGAATACCGGTAATACATACCAAAAGTTAACCAACATATTGTCGGCAAAAATAAAATTCGCGAAATTTATGTCTCAGAAAAAAATAAAGATGTGAGAGAGAAGACGTTGCAAATACACGTGACCACAGTGTGTAAAATCAAGAAGAAATCGGTGTCTAGACAATACCTGAAAAATCTTCATTCAAATTCATGATGTAGAAATGTCATTATGTACGCTTCAGAAATTCAAATGTAATAGTTGTTTTCATCTGTAGAAGAATGTGTGAACCCGCCAAAATGTGAGAATGGAGGATTTGACAACCACAACTGTGTCTGTTACTGTCCAAAAGGCTACCAAGGTGACACGTGCGGAAGTGTGATCACGGATGATGGTAATTAAGAACTTAATTAGCGATTGAAGCATCAAAGTGTTATTAATCAAATGAATATTGATATTTTTGAAGAATAAACTAAAAAAAATGGTTTTTTGGTTCTTTTTGATACAGAGGTATAACTCTTAAAGTAAAGTCATCTTGTATATTTTTTTTTCAAATGCTTAACTTTTCTTTTATACAGTAATATTGTCTTTCCCGGGAATATCTATAGTTATCTATAAGATAAAACAATAAATTTAATTTTTGTCAGTGAAGTATTTTGAAAAAATTGACCAATTGAATATTTTCTAAGACTGCGGTGGAATGATAGAAGTTCCTCTGGGTAAAGATGTATTTGTGACGTCACCAGGGTACCCCGTGTCTTATCCAATCGGAAAATTATGCAGATGGGGCGTAAAGGTTTGAATGGGACGACCCCTCATGTCTTTTAGAGAAAAAAAATCTTTCATTTCAAGTAGCCAAATTAGTATAAAATAATTGTTTTTGAAGCAATTACTATTAAATTTTATCTTTTAAAAAATGTCAGGCCCCCGAGGGATGGTATGTTCGGATGACAGTAGAAGAACTCCACCTGGCGGACAACAATTTAAACAGATGCTACCATTGGCTAGAAATCCAATATAACCTACCAGGGCAGACGGGAATCAAGTCAGTATTTCAGCCAAGACGTTAATGACAACATTACAACCAAACTTTATGATAAATTTGATGTCTTCTACTTTTCAACTTCCCTTACTTATGTAGCAATAGACCCTTCTCAACTTTCTATGGCGTTTATGTCTCTCTTGATTTGATCCGTAAGTGTCTTGTTCTACGTATGAACAATTTCTAAAGAAGAGGCAAGTTATTGTCAAACACGTTTATGAAACAAGTATTTCAACAGTCTCCTTTCTCGTTCTTGGTCAATACGATGGCCCTATCAGAAAATACAACCTATCATAGAGTCAAATGCTGAATGATGTTTGTCATACAAAGTGTAAATCCATTATTTACACACTTCCCAATCAAGACAAAGAGCACTCACGGATGTGACCGATCGGTAGGAAATGTTCACTCCTCTATGTCACCTGATGCCTCTAATGTTTTAAAGGTTCGTGATTTCCGTTTTTTATTGTTTGAATGTACTAAAGTGCGTGATAAATTGTTCGTTATCTCCATATACTTTAAATATTAATTTTATTTAATTTCGATCAGTTTGATTAAGATCCAAGGTGTTGCATTTATGACAAATTTTAATCTAACTAAAAATTTCCACAATTAAACATGATGAAATTTTACTAAAGAAATATTTATATATCCGTAAGATGTAATCGTTGCATCATTTACATGCATTGTAAAGTTTTGTTTAAGTTTTGTTTTTAAATCTGTATTTCAACTGAACCACTTTTTTAACTTTATTAAATTACGAGGGCCGTTCAAAAATTACGCAGACTTGTTGCACAGAAAAAATATTTGACGACATAATCGGGCAAGATGTCACACATAATATAAAAGAATCTTTACTTATATGGTCTTTAAAATTTCATATCAAAATGTTGTAAAATGGTATCAATTTTGAGCGATTTTTCAGGACATATCATTAAGTCACGGAGCAGCAAAATCTTCGACGTCACAGGCATTATAAAATATATTTTCTCAACATTTCCCAAGAGTACCTGTGCAGTTTAAGTTACCTTATCTACTCAACATCCAAACACCTTTTCTTGTCAAGCATAAAATCTTTTAAACAAATAAATAATATTCTTTTTTTGTTTTAAAACCAAAAACTGCAGGTATTTATGAGATAAAGTGTGATATTGGTGACTCTTGAGCATCATGTTCCTTACAGTCCGGATAAAGTTTTCGTCGATTATCTTCTTCCAGTATAGCCTTTTACAGAGGTCTAACGGTCTAAAATTTCAATTTGCTATTTGTGGACGAATGTCACGAATACCCTAGTTTACTACATGTTATAGTATGCATATTTTGGATCTATACTGGCGGTATTTCGAGCATTACACATAATTTAACAAAAGTGTGGTGCGCCGTCAATTCAGGAGACGTCATTTTCACAGTCGATTTCACGGGAATCGCATCAGAGAAAAATCATTATATTTCTGTTAGTACTTCAAATAACACGTCAGAAATCTAAATACATAATAATAGAACAATTTAAAGATACACTTGAAAAATTGTCGAAAAATACCGCGAATTATAGAAAATTAATTATTAAATTTTGGATTCCGCATGCTTTTGCTTCAATTTTTTTGTCGTGCTCCGTACCTCTCCATTAGCGATATCAACATACCGATAATTTTTGTAGAATTGTTTTAAAATACAGAAATTTGGTCAAAATTTATTGGAATCTTTAAGAAATATATTTGTGTTAAATTTCATAACTATATGACGTCTGTAAGAGTAAATAATAGCACAGTCCGCGTAATTTTTGAACGACCCTCGTACTTTCACATTTTTTTTCGGCTTTTCGATTCTTGTATTTAGAGCATGTTCTTTAAACGTGAAATGAATTCACGTTTTAAACTTTTGAGCTTCTGCTAATTTTATGTTATATTAAAAGCAAATGAGGATATATATTTAACTCACCACTAAGTTTTGGATTTACTTATCGCTATTTGAAAGATTATATTTATGCAAAGTTTAATGTATATATATTCCTGTTTAACTAATATAATAAGGTTTTGTTTTAATTAGAATGATAAAAATAATATGTTTGACATTTCTGTGCTGAAAATAACCTATACACCTTTCTGTTCTTACTTCTTGAACAGTTGAAGTTATCTCTAATTCACAATTTTGGACATTTCACTATACTTTCTAGATAGATCAGGAGTTTTATTATGTTTATATTCAACTAGACTAAAATGAGTTTTTATGCTATACTGTAAAAACCTAATTATAACCTTCAATAATTTTACATACAAGTAATTTATTTAAGGTCTGGTAGGTATATATCTTTTCGACAACTCAGGCTTCTGTTTTACTGCTCTGTTGATTAGTAACAAGTGAGCTTGCTCTTCTGTTCAGACTTACTTATTTCTGGTACCTGTTTTGTTACTCTGATGATTTACCAGTGAGCACTGCTTTTCTATTCAGACGCTGTGGAGACATTATAGGGGATCAGTGGACTGGATCCAAAGACAGCCCTAACTTTATGACGATTACATTTGACAGTAAATTTGTACAGGACAGACAAGTGGAGAAGGGCTTCAAACTCAGGTTTAATGCTGTTGGAAGAGGTATGACTGAATTTATGATAACAATGGAAGAAGAATTGGCATTTTTGTGTAATAGACATATTAAATGAAAAAATATTTTTACAGCATTTTGTTTGGGGTATCTTCACAACCACTTTTATTGTTTATTATTGTGAGAATAATTCCAACAAATTATATCATGTTCAGGGTATCAATGCATAAGATTCTCCTTTCATACTTCGTTTCATAAACTTGATCTCTTTGGTCTAAATTATCCTTAGGACGGGAGCGCTTTTTATACTTTTTTCACTCCAAATATGTCATCGGAAGATTTCTTGATCCTTGTTTTACTCTTTTATAAAAAGCTTTAGAAGTGAAACTAGAGTATTTCTGGTGAAGTATTTATTAGGTAAGTAAAAGATGGTTTTCCTGATTTTTTAGGATGCAAGGATAACCCATGTGTATATGGCACTTGTCATGAAAGCAAGATGGATTGTCAGTTTACGTGCTCCTGTTATTCCGGTTTTGAGGGAAAGTTGTGTGACAAAATGTCAAGTAAGTTCGTAGAAATCATCTCCATGTGTGAATCTCATACAATTAGCTACTCAAATACATATATATATTTACATCAAACCATCTTCACCGAAACATTTCATCTTTAACGATCTAATTAATCCTACAATGAATAATTCGAGCAGGTGATGCCACATTTGAATGTACCTTTGAAAAGATGAAGTGTTTCTTGGAAAACACTAAAGAAGGCGACGACTTTGACTGGGCTGTTAACTCAGTATGTAAAGTCTTAACTTAACCATGTGTCCTTATTGTTAAATATAAAAAATCATATTCATTTTTGTTATTAATTATCTTTGAATTCAATAAATTTAAAACCATACCAGGGTCCCAGTAGTTCACAAGGCACAGGACCTGACAGAGCACACAAAGGAAATCGGTACATTTTTACAGAAATGTCAGATCCTCGAGTTAACGGAGAGAAGGCATGGCTGGTATCTAGCTTGGACCTACCAGGTATTTATAGAATCTGTTTATGTGTATACATGTATATATGTAAGAGTTTCAATATGGGTGGAAAAATCCTGGAAGGGACTTATCAAAAACAGACAAAGAAAAACACACATGTACACACACATTTGTACTTTTAAAGAGGTTGGGGGGAAACGTAAATTCCGCTATAACAGTGGAATTTCACTATAATAGCGGAATTACGCTATATTTCCCGCCGTGGATACCCTCAATTTCACCCGATACCATGCAAGGCGTTTGAACCGCACGTCATGGTGGGTATAACAATGAACAAAAACTGTCATGCTTGCATGTTTTGAATTTAAATAAATTTTCTACCGTTGCGTTTGAAAATGCGAGCACTCTTTTTTTAACGGAAGTTGCATTTTGAACATAGTAACGGTAACCGATGATTGCGGGGATATATAAGCCTGTTTGAATCTCACTTGTTGCTCTTTAATATGCACAAATTAATGTTTGTTACAATTGTCAACTTAAACTGGAAAAGGTTAATTGAATTAAACAAGAAAAAAGATTATTTCTGTCTGCATGGTTACGGGTATGGAGGCTCGTTAAGGTAATCGGAAAGACCCATTATTATCGACCGCTGCTGCAGCCGATCTTTTTGTACATGGTTGTTAAATAGTGAACATGGGAAATGAAAAGTTATTTTTGTAAAAGTTCAGTATAATACCCCAGTAATTCTTCATTGATAACATGTACAAAATCATCAGTAAAATTTAAAATATCATTGTTATAATGTTTCAATTTCATTGTCATTTCTCATCAAGTTATTTGATAATTTTTGACTATATACTCGTAAAAAGAGTTTACACAAGGTATTACATATGTATAAAAGGAAATTTTGATTTTCCGGTCGCATCATAATGACGTGGTGCATAAAGTGCATGGTTAATAAAAAATCAAAAACTCTTCAACTCGTAAAAATTGTTTTGAATATGTTTTAGCTGCAAATGCTGCCAATGATACAAGAGTAATTTCGTTTCCACATTTTGCACAGTGCCTTGCAGCATAGTCTATTTTGCAGAAAACATAAGAATTATCACGTGCATGATCAAGATCCAGGGTGCACGTGGTTCGGTCATTTTTATTTCAGACTGTCTTCGAAGCAATATAAATAATTTTTTTTAAATAAGTACGGATATACATATTTTAATGCATTTGCTCATCAGATTTATATATTCATCAATGTAATAAAGTCCATAGGAGTCTGAATCAAATTGAAAGGGGGGCTAATTGAAAGGGGGTCTAAACCAACAAAAAAGATAAACCCCAATTTTCAATACAAAGAAAATGTCTATCCTTGCAAGAAAGTGTGTGTGTGTGTGGGTGGGGGGGGGGGGGGGGGGGGGCTAGACGCCCCTAGCACCCTCCGGTTCTGACGCCTATGAAGTCAATGATAAAAGAATTGATTGTAAATGAAAATATACGCTTCTCAAGATTCTACTTCAGCTTTGAATATCTTGCACTTCCATTGCATGGATATGCTTTCAGAATTGTGAAAGTACTTTTTCAAATGCCAAACTGTTTGCAGCTAATTTGACGCTTTACGTAAAAAAATTGTGGAAAATATGAATTGATTCGAAGATATTTTAGACACTTCTTATGCTGAGCAGTGATGGTTTGTTATTTGAAGTTTCCTTGTAATTTAAACAATAATACAATGGCATAAATCTCAAAGTCTGAAAAATATATACTTTTAGTGTTAATTTTTGCTATATACTTTCATTTCATATGAATATAATTAGATATGAATAGTTTTTAAATAACAAGAAAAAAAACTATTATAGCTATTTCTCCAAGATTTTAAAGTTAAATCATCCTTGCCTAAGTGCATAACCATAAAATGTTAAATAAGATACATTTGTACGGAGTTAAAAAGATTGTTGAATCATAATTATTTGAACATGTGTTAAAATAAGGTTACAGACACTCTTGTTAAATATTACCGACACCGAAATAAATTGAGACTTTTTTTCTGAAATAAACAATTAACCAGCCGATATTGAAAATTGAATATATTTTCTGAGATCGTTTATATATGTAATTTTTGGATTATTTATAATAAATTGATTTTGTTAAGAGAAAAAATATCGAGTTTATCAATACACTCTTTTTCATGTTTGCTATAATTGGTCTTTCCGTTTACCATAACGGGGTTCCATACCCGTAACCATGCAGACAGAAATAATCTTTTTCTTGTTTAATTCAATTAACCTTTTCCAGTTTAAGTTGACAATTGTAACAAACATTAATTTGTGCACATTAATGAGCAATAAGTAAGATTCAAACAGGCTTATATATCCCCTCAATCATCGGTTGCTATGTTAAAAATGCAACTTCCGTTAAAAAAAGAGTGCTCGCATTTTCAAACGCAACGGTAGAAAATTTATTAAGATTCAAAACATGCAAGCATTAGAGTTTTTGTTCATTGTAATACCCATCATGACGTGCTGTTCAAACGCCTTGCATGGTATCGGGTGAAATTGAGGGTATCCACCGCGGTAAATATAGCGTAATTTCACTATAATAGTGAAATACCACTATTATAGCGGAATTTACGTTTCCCCCCAACCTGTTAAATATGCATTGTACATGTTCCATTCAGTAGGTTAGAATACATTTCACTAATAAAATTGTTATTAGACTAAGTATATTATACTCAACTGTTTTCCGATTTCTGATTCTTTTTTTAGCTTCAGAGAGATGCCTTTCGTTCTACTACTACATGTTTGGTCACACAGTTGATTCACTTAGAGTCTTGATATCCGGGGAAAACAGGTCTCAAAGCGCCATCTGGTCTGAAACAGGAAACCAGGGCAGCAAGTGGAAATTCGCTCGTGTCAATATTGAGCAAATAGAAAAACTGAAGGTAATACTGGTCGACTAAAAATTATCAGAAAAAAAGCACATTGTTCTGATAATCTATTATCAAATAATTAACTTCAATAATTGTTTTTAGTTTTGCGTGTTTATACAGCTTCAAAAAAGGCAGTGAAATATATATTAAGGATATAAGAAGAATGAAAATTTCAGTTCTTTAAAAAAATCTTAATTCGAAAAAAATGATACTTTATTGGGTTATTTCTGATCAACAATTTTACAGATCATGATTCATATTTAGACTTTCGATAAATTAGATCGTGTTTGAAGCTGTTCGTGGTGAAGATTGGAGTAGTGATATTGCCTTAGATGACGTAGTTCTTTCTGTTGGAGCATGCGCAAACGGTTTGTATTTTATTGTCATAAACATCAATAAAATTTTTAAAAACAGAATTTTTCAAAAATGACTGAATACATGTATTCATGTAAACATAAGACCAAGTTATATACAAATCAAGGGTTGAAGTCATTTTGCAAATCTTAGTGCTAGTATATGGTTTATTTGGTCAATATTTTTTTTTATATATATCTTTTTATCTGTCTATAGCTGCCTATTGATTCAACACGCAAGAACATGCTTTACATATACGAACAGTTTCTAAAACGAAGTTACTGACAAATAAGTGTATGATACAAGAATATCAACAGTTTCCTTTGAATCATCATTACTATGGTCGATACAATGACCTTGTTAGCAAATACAATATATTGTTAAGTCGAAAGTTGACTGAAAATTTTCATACTTATATAAAGGTCAAGCTTTTCACACAGAATCATTATCCAATCATGACAATTACATGTATAAGGAACACACTCGGATGTGACGGTTCCACAGTAGATAATTATTCTTTTATTGCACTTGATCCAACCTCTAATGTTTTAGAGGTCTATGTTTGCTCTTTGTTTTAATTTGTATTGTTTCAAAGAATTTTTAAACTTGATTATACTGTTTGTTATCTTCGTATTTTTTCTATCTGTTCATCGCTTACTGGTTCCATCTACTTTTTTTTCTTCTTATGTGATTCCCTTTTTTGAATCTTCATAATACTGTTTTAAATAATGAACATAAAAATTAAAGTGTAAAATTCTTTACATGCAGATTAGTATTTTGTTTTCTACGTCACTTCACCAGAATGATTGTATATATAAATAGATAAATAAATAAAATGAATCTACAAATACTGTTTTAAATAATTAACATTAGTAAGTGTAAAGGTTTTTACATGCGTTAGTATTTTGTTTTCTATGTTACTTAAAAAGAGTTATCAAATATAAAAAAAAAAGATAAATAAAATGTATTTACTTGAAAAGTAGGATATGTAAAAGGTTGCATAATTTAAACGTGTTAAATTAAAACCTCTGAATAATATTAGAAATTGTTGTTTACATGCAAAATAGTTTGATTTATTCTTGAAAAGTTAATATTCACATTAATTTATCTATTTGGAAACTTTCTCATGTGGAAAAATGTAATGATATTCGATTATCATGAATCTTTTATCCACGAGTAACTTAAAAAATGAATTATCTTTTTCAGAGTATAAAATTGCAAGATTTTGTGTTCGACGCCTAAGATATTCGCATAAAAAATCACAAGATTATCGAATATTTATAACAGCTAGGATATATTTTTCTTTTAAATAACAATTTCTCGTTAATGACTTTCAATTTTTATCATAAATTTTACGGGATAACCGGATATTTATTGCCAATGTTGGCATATAACAGTATAAATAACAGACTTTTCAATATAATTTACAACTTTACAACATTTCTTATATCAATCACATGTTTACGAATGAAATATGGAGATAATGAAGTGCAAAGTACCATTTACGGTAGCCTAGTGGTAGAGCGTTCGCTTCGTGATCCGGAGGCCCGGTTTCGATTCTCGTTCGCGGCGCCGCTTCAAACCTAAGACGTAAAAATAGGTCGTGACTGTTCCTTCGCCAAGCGCTCGGCATCAGAAATGGAAGTCACGGGTATTTCGGATATGACCTAAAAAACTTAGGTCCCGTGTCACGGTAGGCACTGGCACGATAAAGAACCCTTACTGCTCAATGGCCCTTAGTGCTGAGTATACGTCTTAATGTGAAGCCCTTCACCGGCATACGGTGACGTCTGCATATGAGTGAAAAATATAATTCTCGAGAGGGACGTTATACAATATACAATTAATCAAATGCAAAGTCCATTTAATAATAACATATCGGGGGCAGAGCAACACATACGGACCTCTGAATATACCAAAGGGGATCAGGTTCTATGAAGGAGCGAACATTCCCTTCCGACCGATTACACCCGATGTTTGCCCCTTGACATGGAAAACATTAAAAAAAATATTTCCAAAAAGACTGTTGCATTTGATATCCTTGATTTATCAACTTCTTTGTCAAAAGCTTGACCACAATGGTTTACAAAAAAACTTAAGTGAAATATATGTCTTTAAAAAAAACAAATCATATATAATCTTACGAATATGACAATAAAAATACTAAATCCCAAAATATTTATGATATTATATACAGTATTAGACAAAAATTAGAAAGTTACATAAAATATATCATAAGAAATTAACAAAAAACAATTTTCTTTCAATAAAGCGACACACACATGAAAATATGAAATTGCATTCATATGGATATAATCAAATGCTTAACATTTTTATTATTTTTAACAAATATATTTAAGTTTTATTGACATCCTTGGAAAACTTTGGAAAAAAAATCATTATTGTCAAGTAAATCCATGTGGTTAATACCGACTTGACATTGTAGTGACTGAAAATATTGAGTGTGTGAAAACAAACCGGGGCGGGGATTACAAAGGGAAAGTCAATGTAACACGGAGCGGAAAGGCGTGTCAGCCCTGGGCGGATCAAACACCCCATTCACACACTGGGTATGCTGCCCTAGTCAACGACTCCAACTACTGCCGGAATCTTTACCCCCGAAGCAATGACTACCACCCCTGGTGTTACACTATGGACCCTGGGGACCGCTGGGACTACTGTGACATACCTGCTTGTGGTACTATAGTACTGTATAAGTAAACATTTTAGCGAAACGAAAATCTAGCAATTTGTCTTTAAACAGGTTGGGGGAAGACGTAAATTCCGCTATAATAGTGGTATTTCACTATTATAGTGAAATTACGCTACATTTCCCGCCGTAGATACCCCCAATTTCATCCGATTTAATGCAAGGCGTTTGAACCGCAAGTTATGGTGGGTATTAAAATGACCAAAAACTATCATGCTTGCATATTTTGAATTTTAATAAATTTTCTACCGTTGCGTTTAATAATGCGAGCACTCTCTTTTTAACAGAAGTTGCATTTTTTACATAGCAACCGATGAATGCGGGGATATCAAAGCCTGTTTGAATCTCATTTATTGCTCATTAATGTGCACAAATTAATGCTTGTTAGAATTATCAACTTAAACTGGAAAGGGTTTATTTAATTAATGAAGAAAAAGATTATTTCTGTCTGCATGGTTACGGGTATGGAGGCTCGTTATGGTAAACGGAAAGCCCCATTATTTTCGTAGCGGCCGATCTTTTTGTGCATGGTTGTGTAAGATAGTGAACATTTGAGATGAGAAGTTATTTTTGTTATAGTTCAGTATAATAATTCTTCATTGATAACATGTAGAAAATCATAAGTAAAATATTTTTTCTTAAATACTTAATAAACAAATTTAAAATATTATTGTTAAAAAAATTCAATTTCATTGTCATTTCTCATCAAGATATATGATAATTTTTGACCATATAAAAAGAGTTTACAAAAGGTACTATATAGATAAAAAAAAAAATTATGATTTTCCGGTCGCATCATAACGACGTGGTACATAAAGTTAAATAAGATACATTTGTGCGGAGTTAAAAAAAATGTTTAATCATAATTATTTGAACATGTGTTAAAATAAGGTAACAGGCACTCTTGTCAAATGTTCAGGACACCAAAATAAATTAAGTCTTTTTTTCTGAAAAAAAAAACCCAATTAACCAGCCGAAATTAAAAATTAGATATATTTTCTAGAATCATTTTTATATAAGTAATTTTTTGGATCATTTATTATAAATTGATTTTGTAAAGAGGATAGAAATCGAGTTTATCATTATACTCTTTTTTTGTTTGCCATATTGGGTCTTTACGTTTACCATAACGAGCCTCCATACCCGTAACCATGCAGACAGAAATAATCTTTTTCTTGTTTAATTCCATAAACCCTTTTCAGTGTAAGTTGACAATCGCAACAAGCATCAATTTGTGCACATTAATGAGCAATAAGTGAGATTCAAACAGGCTTAAATACCCCCGCAATCATCGGTTGCTATGTTAATAATGAAACTTCCGTTAAAAAAAGAGTGCTAGCATTATTAAACGCAACGGTAGAAAATTTATTAAAATTCAAAACATGCAAGCATGACAGTTTTTATTCATTTTAATACCCACTATAACTTGCGGATCAAACGCCTTGCATTGTATCGGATGAAATTGGGGGTATTCACAGGTAATAGTGAAATACCACTATTATAGCGGAATTTACGTTTTCCCCCAACCTGTTAAAGATTGGTACTAGTATTTTTTAGCAAAATTTAATTTTAGCTATTCTAAAATATTAATACTTAAGAAGCTATTAAAAATGACACGCAATTAATTTTTAGAGATAAAGCTAATAATGTCAAAACAAAATCATCGCTAAAAGTTCTGCTTATACGGATATTTGTTTTCAGTATTTATGAAATATATGTTGTATATTCTATAGGTCTTGTTCTGATGTTCTGTGTTGAAGTTTTTTTTAAATTATCTTTTAAAAATTGGATCATGCTTATAATTTTCACATTAATAAAATCATTAAAAAGGCACATTGAATTGACCAGCCAGAAAATTTACTTGTACTTGATGCTTTTTATTAACTATTAATGGTATAGTAAAACAAATCCCCATCGTGTTTGGTTGCAGAATATGAAGAATGCAGACGGTCAAGTATTGGATACGAATATGCTGGAAGAGTGAGCAAAACAAAGTCTGGAAAAACGTGTCAGAGGTGGGACTCACAGTCACCTCACGAACATTCACACGCGGGTCTGATGGGCCACGAGAATTACTGTCGGAACCCCAGGGGTAGAGAACAAGGACCCTGGTGCTTCACAGAGGATAACTCAACACGTTGGGAATACTGCGATGTGCCAATGTGCAGTAAGATTTTGAATTAAGTACATAGGACCCTTCTAATATCTTTGTTGCCTCGTTTGATCCAGATACTAGAGTTATTTGTAGTATGTTGCAAAACAGATGCAAAAGAAGGACATGTTGGTATTGTGTATAGGGGTAGGGGGTTAAATAAAACTAATAACCTCCACCAGTGATGTGAGTCCCGTGAAGATGGTATGGGCTCCTATAACTTTGTTTTTTTTTAAGTTTATATTATACTGGACAAAAAAAGTTAACGATCATCAAAATAGAGATGTTTTGCAAATACTGTATTATAAAGAACAGAATGCAATCTTGATTTTAGTATCATATTTTATATTTAAAAAATGAAAATTAAACACTGGATGTGATAAATTTGTTTTAACACACGTTATGAATTGTTTATTACGGTCACATTAAAATTTGCCATTTTGGGGGTAGACCTGAAAATGAGATTTTCTTCAGAAGAGTAAAATTACGTCACTAAAATGATTGCCAGTATTTTGTATGACTTCCCCGCGATGCCCTGCAGCGCAGACCCATGCTGCCCATCAGCCGTCCAAGGCTAGCCCGAGGGATATGTTGCCGTTCCTCCTGCAATGCTGTCTGAAGCTTCCGTTGATTTTGGGGAAGTGTATGACGAACTGAAATGCGTTGCTAAAGAATGTTTAAGGCATGTTCAATTAACTTCAGGTCTAGAAAACGACTTGGCGGGTTCATACGCTAAGTTGTTTCACTTTCCATGCACTCGGTTACGATTCGAACTGTATGATGTCGAGCATTATCGTCTATTAAGATGAAATCAACCCCTAGAATACATGCAATACGTCTAACAAGAGGATGAAGAATATTATTTCGGTATTTTAAACCTGCCAGATTGCCTTCAATAATGTGCAGATCTGTTTTGCAGTCAATACTAATGCCTGCCCAAATCATCACCAATCCTCCATTTACTCTGTATTGCCCAGAAATGACACAATCAGCATATCTTTCCCAATTTGCAATCTAAACAAGTCTTCTGTGATCATGGAAGTCAAAAAAAATCGCAACTCGACTGACAAGAAAATAGAACACCAATGACGTTGTTGCCAAATTTTTGTGTTCTGTTGCCTGCTGCAGTGGATTTCTGCGACACTCTAATTTTAATACAGGACGTACGGCTGGTCGGATAGCCTCAAAATTTGCTTCTTGAAGTCTGTTTCAAAATGTTTGAGTAGAAATTCGTCTGTTTGTTGCTCTCTGATGCCCAGTTTTAAGCTGAAGAGCACCTTGGAAGTGGCGCGTCTCAGCAAAATTGGCCAAATAATGCTCCTCATGGACTGCCGTACACCTTGGACGTCCAGATTTTAGCCTTTTATGACAATTTTCTGCCTGTAAGTATCGGTTCCATAACCTTTAATTCCGCTTTGGGAAAGATACAGTCTCTCTGCAAAGTGATGTTGCGTTTTGCCAGCTTCCAGTCATCCCTGCTGCCATGGTGTGTTCGTCCAAACTCATATGCCTCCTCATAGTGTCTTATCACCAGTTCTAGCCAGATATACTGAAATTTCCTTATGTTCACAAAAGAAAACACTCTTTGATACTTCTTTGCTTTCATTGTTCCACTTACATTTTTAACGCCTTGTACTTCCTTCAACAATATGTCCCAAAAAACCATTAAACATGCGTGATTTAAGTATCGAATCATGTTAATGACATGTTTTTAAAATTACTTAAACCTTGTTGTCACATAAATTCATTGGTATGAAAAAATTATTCTTGTTTAAAAATATGATCCCTAACTTATTTTGCCCAGTATAATACTGTAGATCACTAAATTTTTGCGACACCTTATTTTCGCGAGATAGTCATTGACTCTTGATAAGCGAGACAAAATTTTCACGAATTGTGGTTCTTGCTCTAGAATATCCTAAGGAATATTATTATACGCGAGAATTCAATTTTTGCGAGCACACTGCCTCGCTTATTTACGCGAAAATAAATTTCTCGCCAATAAAAAATGATAAAAGGTATCCCGCAAGCAAACTGTCCACAAAATCAAGTTTATTAGTTTGTTTTATGCAAATCTAAAGTATGTACACGTTTGTTTAAACCGGAAATATGGAGCAAGAAGTAACCTGTTTATGATTTCAGGCAATAAGCATATCTTTTTTTAAACTTTTGTATTATTTTGAAATTGGAGACGAAAAAATACAATTGAGATTTAATGCTGAATCTAGGTTTACGATTAAATTCTTGTTCGTTTCAGATGATGAAGCTCGGGAATGCGCACTGCTAGCTCAAAATATAGATTACTTTGGACAAATCAACACAACCACAAGCGGTCGAACATGTCAAAGATGGGATCAACAAAAACCGCACTCTCATTCAAGTCAGTATTTATTAGACCAAAAAGAGCTTGCGGTGTGAGCAATTCTCTGTTTTATATCTGTTCAAACTAAACAAGTTTTACTGTGCACTGTCTTGTTAAATTTTACAGTGCCGCTAACCTCTGCTCAGGAGAACTTTTGTCGGAATATGGGCGGCGAGAACCGAGCATGGTGCTATACGACTGACCCCAACAAACGCTGGGAAAGGTGCAACATTCCACCATGTGGTAATATCCTCAAAATATATTTTTGCAACATTGGTCAAAGAGAATGGAAAACATACCGTAGATTCCTTATTCTATGCGAGTGCCTATATTATCGCGAATTGGCTCGTAAGCGTAAAATTAACAATAACTCGTGACCGGAGGTTGATGGAGAGATTTTAAATAGCCTTTCGCACCATAAAAGAGAGTACTTTTATTTCGTGTGTTGTACTTCTTGCGAAATACTGCGATAATCAATTCCTTGCAGATCTTTAAGAATCTACATTATTATAATATCTATGAATTATCATATAATTAATACTTGCAACTTGCAACATGTACTTTGTTAGCTTCAGGGATGAGTTCAATCGAAGTATAAAAGGGTATTGCATTTTTAATTAAGAATACTATTTCTTATTACTTGTCAGACAACTTGGCATGCTTTTCGAACCCCTGCTACAATGGAGGGACATGTACAAATAATGGAGACTCCTATAATTGTTCCTGTTTTCCGGGTTACCAAGGAGACAGATGTGAAACTGAAGGTGAGTATTCTTTGTAAGTTTACATGTATAATTTTAATTCAACATTTATCATCAGAATCCACATTAATCGTCAAATAGAATCACTCTATCCAAATACTAGTACACATTTTACATAACTAGGCGGGTGTGACCGATCGACAGAGGATATTTACTTCTCAAGGCATCTGATCCCACCAAAGATCCTTGTTGATGCCCTCTTCCCAGATTTGTATTGTCTATAGATTTTTGAGATGGATATCTATTACAATTTTAGTTTAGCAAATCACGTTGTTTTGTACTTTAAGTCCCACTGAGAACGGAGAACTGTAAACGGTCTAACATTGGCTGGGAGTACCGGGGAACAATATCACTAACAGTCAACAACCGGACGTGTCAGCGGTGGAATGAAAGTACTCCACATGGACATCGCTTTACCACGTCCATGGCGAGTCACGAAAACTACTGCAGGAACCCGGATAAAGAACCTGCTCCGTGGTGCTACACCTCTGACCCAAATAAACGATGGGAACGTTGCGATATACCAATGTGTGGTAGGCTATGAAAGAATTTTTAGTATCAAGTAATTTTTATTTGAAAACATTGATATTTTATTTAAAATTATATTACTTTATGGGATATATTTCCAAATAATCAAAAAACCTCTGTGCAGTGTGCATTAATGATGCTTATCAACATATATAAACATTATTGGTCAGCCCCCGGGCTGACTAGTTACGTTAGGATGAAACTGCGCTTGCGTTAATCGGAATTCTGGGAAAAAGATTTGCACAATTTTCTCCAACCAGAGGGCGTGCTTCTTCAGGCACACTCACGACCTCGATCTATTTATAGACTGCATTGTTCTTCGTCGTTCTCGACGAAAATTAATGACATAGACTGTTCAGCTTCTAGATGGGATATTTGTCAGATTTTAAATGATACTATGAAAATATTTTATTGCTACTAATAGAAGATAAGTACATTTATTCCCTCAATCGCCATTGCAAGCCGAAGATTTAAATTGTGTATATTCCTCTGGATGCCTGATGCAAGACTCCTTCGATCAATATTCAATACCTTGTGTCACAGGGTGACAATTACTTGTTTTTATTTTATTTAGTATAATTATTTAGTACAGCTGGTATAGTAAGTCAGTATAGTAGATAGCTGTAGTAAATTCCTTTCATTCATTCATTCATACCTGGTCATTCATTGTCATCGTGTTTGTATTGTATTCTTGTTTGTCCGGTGTTCCGTGTCACGTGAGTGTTTGGTTGTCACGTGATTGTCTTGTGGTTTATTTTTATCCTAGGTGTGAGTTGTAAAACCAGTATGTATGGGGTGTGGTAGTTATGTACGCATGTGTGAGTCCTGGTATATATACTTTTGCACGGACTATTCCTTTTTAATCTTGACGATACATTGACGATAGTTTGGATGTTCTCCTGCGAGAAATCCACATGAGCAGTTTGTCTAAGAAATTCCTTACGGAACCTTAGTACCATGGTGTAACTGGTAAGAGTAAATTAATATTAAGTCTTATTCTTATTTTAAACTATTCTAATTAAATAAATATTAGTGTGTGTGAAATTGTACGAGTGTGTCATTCTCATTGCAGGTCACCTTCATTCGTTTGCTCGTTTATACTTCATCATCGTAATTGTCAGCTAATAAATTATGTGAACCTTTATTGAGGAACTGTGTTGAATTATTATTCCCTGAGATTGGGAGACCCGTGACACCTTGCATAAGACATGTACGGGTCGGAATTCACACAACAATACACTTGCCACAAAGGTCCCAAAATAGTGAAAAAAAAGAGAGATCAATTTCTTTTTACTCTAATGATTGAAGTTATCAGAACATCAGAAGACCACTGTAAAATAGTAAATTCTTATAATTTACATGATGATGGACGTGTAAGTGCAGCTTGTGCACGCAGACCGCGCCACATGCGAGAAATTGACCACAGTGAAAATGCGATAGCTGAGAGAACATGTGCTGATTTATAGACAGGGTCACCCCCCCTCCCCCCCCCCCCAAAGAAAGGAGAGGGAGGGGATGAATTTAAGTTTTTAATTTTTTAATCTAAAGTTTTGCTATGATGATAGACATCATCAAAGACATTTTGTGTACATGTATACGTACTGCATGTATAAACATATTTTGATTTTCCATTTTAATTGTTTTCCGTGGCGTTCATTGCTTTTTTGGAAGCAATTCTTTTCTTTCCTAATAACAAAAAATTGGATCCTCAAACTTAGAAATTGAATTAAATATCCATACAGTATGCCCCCCCCCCCTCCACATCAAGCATTGCCTCGAAATGCACAAATGAGAACCGTTATTTAATAATATTTAAAAACAATCTAACACAAAGTCTGCCTTTGTTTTATTCATCATAATCTATATAATTTTTATAGACTTTAACGTGATTTTAGTTGCCATGGTGGCTAAATCTGTGGCTTGCGCCGAAGAGAATTTATTGGAGATCATTGTAATGATCACGATGCAGAATTAAAACTAGAGGTACTGTGAGCATTGAGCTCACTAAATGATACCCCCCCGCCTCCCATAATGTTGATGTGTTGCTTTATATTGTTTTACGGTAATGTGTAAAGAGGAATAACTCGTCCTATGAAATGTTATCCAGAAGCTTCTATTATGTGACGTCATAGGTAAACAAAAAATGGCAATGTTCACGTTTTGCTCTGAGAAAACTAAAATACGTGTCGAATAAAAAAGTAAAATAGGAGGTGCACAATGGCAATATGTAATAAAGATTCTGTGAAAGTTTCATTTAATTTAACTCAGTAGTATAAAAGGAGTTGCGGATAAGAGAAAAAGCGTAACAGACGGACGGACGGACGGACGTACAGACGGACGGACGGACAGACAGACGGACGGACGGAAATCCCGATCACTATATACCCTCCCGCTTTTCAAGCGGGGGGTATAAAAATTAGTCTATATGGGCTTTATAATTATTATGTACAGCATTATATTACAAATAAGAAAACGATTACAAGAATTTAACTTTTCTTACAGCGGCATTTATTACATTGAAGGAACACAACATGATGGATAGATCAAATCATAAACCAATACAAAACAAGAAAAAAACTTTCTGTATTCCAGTGGCTGACACTCAGCTTTTTTAAAAAAGCTAATCTTGTTGTGTTTTGTTCTATCCGTAACAATGTTTTAGCAACTGCTCTTCGTAGCTTTTTGAAAGTGTACCACACTGACATTCCATATAGTGAGATTGATGAATTGTCCATTTCCTGTTGATCCGTGTGTCTGTCCGAACCCAATTAACATTTAGACAGGTTGTATTACAAGTGAGCATTGACTTCTTGTTTAAATATTAAATTTTTCCCGTCATCAAGTCGCTTCTATATTACAGACACTCCACCATCAGAATGCTTGAATGCTGTCCGAGGAGATGATTATTTCGGCCATGCTAACAAGACTATAAATGGCTACACGTGCATGCGATGGGATTCCCAGTCGCCACATCAGCATGGGTATAATTACATTCGGGATCAGGAGAACTACTGTCGTAATCCATACGGAGAGGAACCTAGGGGACCCTGGTGCTATACCACAAATCCCAACAAGAGATGGGATTATTGCTCTATCCCTCTGTGTGGTAAGTGACTACAACATAAGAGTTGTGGATATTGCTTTTTTCCTCTGTGTGGTTAGTACAACTTATGAACAGTTCCTGGCCGTTATGTACATGAATTTATGTTAATTCCTTGAAGGAATTAAGCCATTCAAGATGAAGTTTTGTTTTTTTAGGTGGGAAAATTTAATCTGAACATGGAAGACAACTTCTCCTTCAGAGGGATTTATTAACTCTATAAGAGATGAAACGTACTGGGAAAATGTACAGCACCTCTACAAGCGGAGTTCCTAAGATGATAACAATATTGTTTTTATTATAAGCCTTTTGATAAGTAGTGCCCGATCAATAAATAATTAGCATTTCAAACTGGGTTTAACTTGATATTGAAGTGTTGAAAATGGTTAATACGAGGGGCGTTCAATAAATAATGTCATCAGGGCTCGGAAAGAAACAAAAAACGCTTTACTATGATTTTGTCTTAATGATTTAACTAAAATATTCTCTTTTAATTAAAACACATGTCCATAACATTTTTTTTTCAATTTCTAATTCTTTTTAGAACTCAGTTTTTAGTATGACCCTTCGTATACTGGAAAATGGCAGATCCTATGATTTGCTGTACTTGTTTTTTTTCTTTCTGAAGGGTGTTTTCCTAAGTTTGGGAAATGAAACAAGTCAAAGATTGAAAGATCTGGCGAATATTGTTGATGTGACAAAACATTAACTTTCTGTTTACCTCAAAACTCCTTTACTCTTTATGGCCTGTTGGTTTGGACGCTGTCAGGAAGAAATTTAATGTAGTGAATTACTCATTCTGTTTCCTTCCTCTCATAAACCTTTCAATTTTTTGGCAAATATTTTGCTTACTAGACTCCTCCAGAAATTGAACTGCCTCCTTATATATGAATTTGAACAACAAGACCGCTAATATTTAAGGAAATAGCGTATAAAACTGTTTTTGTGTTCTTGCAAATTTTTGCTCTTCTTAGGCCTTTGCAGTTTTGTCAAGTACATCTTATTCTAAATTTGTTTTGAGGGTTTAACGCAAAATGGATTCAAGTTTAATGATCTGTTTAAATTTCAGAAAAAAGTAGATAAGAACAATTTTTTATCTTTTAAAAATAAATTGTTTAGATTTTCTACACGCTCTCGTTTTCACTAATTTTTAAAAATATAGGGTGACCTTCAAGTATTAAACTTTTTTACAATCAAATGTTTCTTTAAAACTGTGTGAACTATCCCCATGAAATGTAACTTAAAGTCAATAAAACATAATCAGTGATAATTTGTTGAATTATCGCTAATATACATTGGTTGTTGTATGTACTTGTTGACAAGGACGGTACACATTTTGATGCCCATTATATAATTTTTGTTAATTGAAATCCACCTGTTCATGTGTGTATGAAACAGACATAAGTTGCTGTAAATTTCACATATTTCAGTTAATATATTTTTGGGAAATTAACAAGTTTTACAGCAGCTTTAATGATGCGTTCAATTTTACTCTAGTTTACTGACTCTTGACCATTCATTTTTAATGCAGTGTCTCGAGTAGCCCTTGTTTTCCAGCTTCCTACAATGAAATAATGCGATGAAAAGTGGTCAAATAAACTGTTACCAATTCATTAAAGA